AATGCTCCAAAGTGGCACCATGAAACGAGATAAAAATAATTAATACCAACAGTGCATATCGCGTGAATCCGCTTTGATAATTTTGAATTCTCTCGTTTCAACTATGGGGGGGGGGGGGGGGTTGGCGAGGTACCACCAACGACGGGCAACAACCATGAATGACACAATCGCGGAATTTCGGGGATTCCCTTGGCGAGGAAACACACGAGACCAAGCGTGCAAAATTTCGGCATCCTGAGAGCTGTCACCGTCGGGTTTGCATAGGCCGGAATTGTTTGCACAGGTTAAAAAGGTAAAGTTGTGGAATTTGCTGAACCAGTTTGATATGTTTGAATCTTTCTGTAGAAAATGTGAAGGCTTTCACATTCTCTTTGTGGAATTGAATGGAAGGATAAATATAGGATTGCATGGATCGAAACAAGGTTTACTGAATTGAAGCATATCTGAATAGGATCGCATGGAAATCTTCACAGGATTTAGTGAAAGAAAAATCCGTAAACCGAACAATCAGAACGTCACTGTGGAGAGCTAACGGTGGATTGCGGTCAGAGTCAGAAGCTAAAGCGTAAAATTATAATTAGCCATTTGCAGCCCTCCATCGCATCCGAGCATGCAATATAGGTTTCAAAGCAGTCAGAATATTGCACCGTGCAGTCAAGTGTGTGCACAATTTCCTGCCGCCGCCCATGAATTATAATGGATGTCGCACCGAGTCGCTTTTGGCCATTCTTGCAGCGCAATACTGTAGTGTCACTACTCGCTAGATAAAACACCAGGAAAGCGGAATATCATAAATGGGTTGCCGCATTTCCTGTCATCGCATCGCATCGGAAACACCGGGGACCCGGTAGCAACCAGAGTAGTGATAGCAATTGCCTCCCTCACCGCTGCCGTGAAATGATTGGTTACAGAATCGGTCTAGAGAGTGGGGTGGCTTTTTGGTGGATTGCTTTTTATGTCGGCTTTTTGATCACCACCGTTACAGGATTTCAGTAGTCGTTAAGTATGCAGCCAATTAAATGACGTTTTTAAGCTGGATGGCGGTGAGGTATCTTTCTGACCACCAAAAGTTAATCTGCTATCGATCCGATTGCAATGCATTAACCCTCTGCTACGCGTGCTCACTTATTCATCGATTAGCGTAAGTGGTAATGTGCAAGATTTTCAATGTTTGGGAGCTTTCGACGATTTGTTGCCTTATTGAAAAAATCCCATGTTATTCTATTCCCGTCGATATAATCTGCAACGCAAAATTCACCATTACAGACCGCTTTGAAACAAAAATACTTTTTAAATTTTTTCTAAAAATATTGACATAACTTAATTGAGAATCTATGTATAATCATATTTTAGCCTTCCTTCAAAAAAGGTAGGGTTACGGGATGTAATTTCAGCCTAGCCCCTAGTCTTCTTTGCAGATGATGCTGATGATGGAGATGGGTAGTGATCACTGCGCTGCTGCTGCTGCTGCTGCTGGTTATGCTGATGTTTTTGTTGTTGGAGGAGGATAAGACCGATGATTCGGACGAAACGGTAGTCAGCTGATTGAAGCAAGACAATAGGGATGACGATGATGGTGATGATGAGCGTGTTGCTGTTCCTGTTGTTGTTGTTGTTGTTGCTGCTGTGGTTTTGTTAGCAAAGCTACCAATAAAATCCTCTATGCAGTGTTTTTCTTTAAATTATTACGATTATTATTAAGTTGTAGTTTACGATAAATATTACTCATGCAAATAACTCATTAATTCAGCAATAATACACAAAAGTAATGAAAAACTAAAACCACCGACAAACCGACATGACACTTGTTGCTAACACTGCCAGTCCGAACTTTTCTACTCGGGTATCGCAGTCGTCGCGCCGCCAGCCGTCAGGCCACCCCTGAGCGTAACCATAGCAACAAAATAACCATCGAAGCAAGCGGGTGTGAAAAAAGAGTGAAAAATTTGTTCAGAGTGAAAAAGTTAGTTGACTTGTCTCCAAGTTTGTAAGAAGTTTTCCTCAATAAAATAAAAAATAGTTAATCTCGTTGAAATTATTGTCCAAAAAAGTGGTCAGTTCGTGTCGTCTTTTGCTGAGGGAACCCCTGGCGAATAAACTGAAATTCCTTCCCCAACAAATAGCCTGGACACGAACTTCTCTCGACAGGTGAGAAAACACCCGGCCGCCAACGACCAGAACGATTCTTACATTTTGGTCCTTCGAATGTCAAACGACAATTTATATGGAACCGCAGTTACGCCGCTCCAATAGAGAAACTCGGGGCGCAGTACCGAGACGATTCGAAAACTTTCTCGTGGGCCTTCCACGTCATTCGAACATGTATCGAACTCCTCCAATCAACAGCAATCCGCAAGATCAATCGAACCTGCAATCCAGGAACGATGAGTCCGTTCTAGTTTCAAATGAAAATCGCACGGATAAGGTATCTGTCGCTAGTTCCCGTGGTTCAAATGGAGCTCCCTCGTCTGATCGACGTTCAAGTAGAAGCCGGTCTTCCAAAACCAGTGAAGCTGATAGCCAACTCAGAGCCCTGTTGTTGGAGGAGCATATTGAGGAAGAAGAACTAAAGGCTTCAATCGAACGAGACAGGATCCTGGCTGAAAAGCAACTGGCTGCGTTGCAGATTCAACAAGATCTAGCGCTGAAGACGGAACAGAGGAAAGTGGAATTCCTAAAGCGAAAGCATGAACGCGAATCGAAGAAGAATGAACTGAGCATCTCCAGCAGATCGAGTGCGTGCACCAGTACATCGAGACGTGTTTGCAAATGGCTGTCTGAATCAGATAAAATTAAGACAGATAATGCAAACATTGAGCCGTCTAACCAATTGGCTCGACCATTATTTCACGAACCTGGAGCTAGAAATCATGTAACTGCTCCTGAGCCAGGAGTGAATGAAATCTTGTCTCAGGCTTTCAAGGCGTTGCAGAGTCGAAACGTAAAAGACCTGCCTTCGTTTTCTGGTGACGTAATGGAGTGGACGATTTTTGAGAGCGAATTCAAAACGTCCACTGAAGAGTTTAAGCTGACCGATCGCGATAACCTGAGGCGGTTGAATAAGTCGCAGCAAGGTAAAGCGCGCAAGACCGTGGAATCATTGATTTCGTCTCCTGATAATGTACAGCAGATCATGAGGATTCTGAAATCTAACTTTGGACACACGGAATGGGTGGTGGCGAATAGATTGGAAACACTGAGAAACCTGGAGAGCATCAAGGAGGGAAACATCGAGTCCTTTCGTGTTTTCTACAACGCGGTGATTGGAACCAAGGTTGCGATGCAGAATGTCAAGGCGGATAATTACTTGATGAATCCGGAACTCATCTCACACCTGACTGAAAAACTGCCTGCATTCAGCAAGCAGATGTGGGTTCGACACAAGGCCGCTTTGATGAAGGAAGATGTCGTAATCGACTTCAACATTTTCTCTCGCTGGTTGGAGGATGAGATGGACAATCAACTCGCAAGTCTAAATCCTGTCTTCAGTGCCAAGAAATCAAACTTCTCACTGAAGCCGAAGCAGATTGTTCTCAACGTCAACAGTCGTGAGGCGGAAGAGACAGCGAAGTGTCCGCTATGCTCGTCAAGATCGCATGCTAGTTTGGAGAAGTGCGAGCAATTCCGCAAGTTATCTGTTGCTCTACGTCGGTCTGCTGCTAATTATTGCAAGGTCTGCTATTTACACCTGTCTGAGCGCGGATCACACAAGAAGAAACTGTAAATCCAAGAAGAAGTGTTCGATCTGTGAGAAGAATCATCACGAACTGGTCCATAATGATGAACTTCCAATGACCACTGCGTCTCGGCGACCGGATACTCAAGACAGTCAGATGAACGTATGTAACGTGAACGGTAAAAACGTCAACACACTGCTCCGAGTGGGAAAAGTGAAGATTCGTGGTCCGAATGCCGTCGAGGAAGTGTTTGCCCTTTTTGATGAAGGCTCTTCTCTCTCGATGATGGATGCTGCTGTACCGACGAGGATTGGAATGCAAGGGCCGATCTCTTCCGTGAATTATAGATGGACTAACGGCATTTCGCACAAGGAGGAACATTCGATGATGTTATCTTTCCAAATCTCTGGACCGCCGGAACAAGCGAAATGGTTCGTGGCAAACAATATTCGCACGGTGCAGAACATCGACTTGCCACGGGTTAAATTTGACGTTGACAGAGTAAAGCTGTTGTACCCGATGTTGGATGAGGATAAACTGGCTGCGATACAAGATGCTCGTCCCTGTATGCTGATTGGTTCGAACAACGCTGGTCTGATTGGACCCCTGAAGACGGTGCAATACTAACTGAGCGGTTTGCAGTTGACTCGGTGCCATCTGGGTTGGACGATTCACGGAGTAACTGAACCGAACGCTGCTGGATCAAACGATCATCATGCTTTCCTGATGTGTTCTGAAGACGATGACACCGAGCTAACGGATCTGGTGAAGCAGATGTACAAGGTGGAAGACTTTGGCATCACTGGTCAGTCCCCGAAGATACCAGACGAAGATCAACGTGCACTGGATATAATGAAACGTATAATCACGCGACGAGGAGAACGCATTGAGGTAGGACAGATCTACAAGTACAATAACTTCGCTTTTCCGGATAGCAAGCCACATGCACTGCGTCGACTTCAAATCACCGAGATGAAGATGGATTCCGATCCTGATTTCGCTGAGAAATACTGTAGTAAGATCCAAGACTACGTGGAGAAGGGATATGCTCGAAAACTGGAGCCTGAAGAACTTGCTGAAACACCGAACACCTGGTATTTGCCTCACTTCAGCGTGGTAACTGCCGATAAGTTCCGATTGGTTATGGACGCCAAGGCCAAATCTCACGGATTTTCGTTGAACGATCTGCTACTGAAAGGTCTTGATTTCGTTCCCGCATTGATTGCGATCCTGAAACGATGAGTTCCTAGGAAGAAGAAGATTGCTTTTGTGGCGGACATATCTTCTCCTTCGATGGCACAATTCATCAAAAACTTCAATGCAATGGAACTGGAAGAAAAGCACCCTGGCGTTGAACGAGCTGTGCTAGAACAACACTACGTCGATGACTATTTTGATTGCGCGGACACGGAGGAAGAAGCCATTGAACTGTTGCAGCGAGTGGTGAAGGCACATGATCACGGAGGATTCAAACTGGTGAAATTTGCATCGAACTCTGAAACTCTTCTGGATTCGCTTGACCCTTCTTTAGTAGCCGAGAAGAAAGGAAGTGACACTCGTGTACTCGGTATCAGGTGGGATCTTCTTTCAGATGAATTTGTGTTCCCGTTGGATTTTCCAAAACTGGATGAGAACTTCCGTATTGGTGGCACGGTGCCTACTAAACGGCAGCTGCTGAAGTTTATGATGAGCATCTTCGATCCATTGTGTTTGCTCAGTCCGATTACGATACACCTGAAGATTATGTTCCAAGAGCTGTGGTGGTTGCAATCTGGATGGGACGACGAAATTCCTGATAGCCTGGTCCCGAAATGGATGGAGTGGTTGAGCGAAACTGCTAAGCTGGAAGAAATACGTGTTGCGAGGTGCTACTTCCCGGAGGTATCGTCCTTTGCCGATGCTGAGCTGCATGCTTTCTGTGACGCAAGCGATAAGGCTTTTGCATGTGTGATTTACATGGTTCATCGTCGAAACGGTAAGTCACACGTTGTATTGGTGTATGCCAAGGCAAGAGTTGCTCCACTGAAATCATCGACGGTACCACGACTTGAACTTCAAGGGTGTGTTCTTGCAAGTCAAATGATGAAGGTAGTTCAAGACGAACTAAAAATAGAAGTGAATATGCAGTACATCTGGACCGATTCTAAAATCTGCTTGAGTTGGTTGAAGACGAGTCAGAAGCTTACGGCATATGTTGGTTCTGGTGTCATGAAAATTAAGGAGAACGGTCATGGAGTTGATCTGTGGCATTGGGTTCCATCACAGCTGAACGTAGCTGATTTGGCTACGAAGTCCTCCAAGTTTGGTTGTATGCAGGAATGGTTGAAAGGTGCTAACTTTCTGTATCGGGATAGTGCCCATTGGCCGAACAATGAACCGCTAGAGATGTCCTCGTCTGAGTTGATAAATTTCCATACCGAAGTGATTGCTGATGTTTCCGTGGATCCGATGTGTTGTACCGTGGTTGAAGTTGAGTTGATTGACCTTCCCGATATTGAGAGGTTCTCTGATTTCAATCGCTTGATTAGATCTACTGCGTACTATCTGAAAATGCGAAAGATTTTAGCACTGCCAATGTGTAAAAAGCCTAGATGTTTGACAATCTCCGTGAACGACATGGATGAAGCTAAGAGTGCCGGGTACAGGAAGGTACAGTCGCAAATGTTCTGTGAAGAGTTGCGCAGTCTGAAGCAGACCGGATTCGTGAAAAGCAATAGTCGTTTGAAAACATATTCGCCGTTTCTGGAAAACGGAATCATCCGTATGCGAGGTCGTGTGCAGGATGATGGAAAGTCGTTTGAAGTGAACAATACTGTGATTCTTCCTGACAACCACCAGTTTTCAACTCTACTGATTCGTATGTACCATATCGCCAACGCACATCAAGGAATGGAGACCGTTGTTAACAATATCAAGGAACGGCATCGTATCCTGAAGATTCGCTCACAGGTAAAGAAGTACACGATGTCCTGTGTCAAATGTCGTGAGCTTAGAGCAAAACCGACCGTTCCGCAAATGGGAAACCTACCACCGGAAAGAACAACCCCGTTCGTGTTCTCGTTTACATGTATTGATTATTTTGGACCGTTGCCTGTAAAAGTTGGTCGTCGTGTTGAAAAGAGGTGGGTAGTATTGTTCACGTGTATGACATCAAGAGCTGTACACCTTGAAGTCGTGCCATCTTTAGACACGGGCAGCTGCATAATGGTCATCCGCTGCTTCATGTCCATCCGTGGCTTACCACAGTGCATCATGACCGACAACGGTACCAACTTTACTGGTGCAGATGCTGAACTGAAGAAACTGGTGAGAACTCGGGATCAGCAGCAGATTGAAGATTCGCTGAGCATCAGAGGTGTTAAGTGGAAGTTTATTCCACCTGGTGCTCCTCATTTCGGAGGTTGCTGGGAACGTTTAGTACGCTCTGTGAAGACTGCCCTTCGTGCAATGTTACGGGATAGGCACCCTACGAACTTGGTGATGCGTACTGCTTTATGCGAGGCAATGAACACCGTAAACAACAGACCTTTGACACACGTTCCGGATGACCCCATGGACCCTGAACCGATAACTCCAAACATGTTGCTGCTCGGCCGAAACAATTCAATCCAGTTCGACCATAACTTTGATCAACGAGATCTTAACTGTCGTGCTGCCTACAAGCATTCTCAGATTTACGCGGATCGTTTCTGGCGCAGGTGGATAGCCTCGTTCCGTCCGGAGTTGATCAGAAGCCGCAAGTGGCCGGACAGCAGGAATTACCACGATTATCACGTCGGTGATCTAGTGATGATAGTGGACGAATCGCTACACCGAGGAAGCTGACCGAAAGGAGTTGTAGAGAAGATCTACCAAATCTACCAAGGACCGGATGGAAAGGTGAGAACAGTTGCAGTGCGGACATCAAAGTCGACCTACAAAAGACCTGTAAGCAAGGTTGTGCTGCTCCAGGCAATCAGCTCGGTTCCTGGCCCGGAGAATGTTGCTAACACTGCCAGTTCGAACTTTTCTACTCGGGTATCGCAGTCGTCGCGCCGCCAACCGTCAGGCCACCCCTGAGCGTAACCATAGCAACAAAATAACCATCGAAGCAAGCGGGTGTGAAAAAAGAGTGAAAAATTTGTTCAGAGTGAAAAAGTTAGTTGACTTGTCTCCAAGTTTGTAAGAAGTTTTCCTCAATAAAATAAAAAAATAGTTAATCTCGTTGAAATGATTGTCCAAAAAAGAGGTCAGTTCGTACCGTCTTTTGCTGAGGGAACCCCTGGCGAATAAACTGAAATTCCTTCCCCAACAAATAGCCTGGACACGAACTTCTCTCGACAGGTGAGAAAACACCCGGCCTTCAACGACCAGGACGATTCTTACAACACTTAATTCTAACTTATGTCCGAAAATCGTAAACGACCGATTTAAATAAGCAGTGATCCGAACTGTCAAAACCATAGGAGTGTTTGATCTAGATAAAAATAATTTGTCCAAAATAGATCAGACACCACAGTGTTGCTTTTTGCCGTTTTCGTGCGCTTTTTTAATAGCTTCTCAAACATTGATTTTAGGGGTATAGTTTGTTTTAAAATGTTTTGCATATGTTAATCCGCTTCATCCGCAATCCGTCTACATCAAGGTTTGCTGATTAATCTACCTAAAAGTGAGATTAAAAAAATATTTTTATCTGATTAAGATAGAGACTTAACGTGTTGAATAAAGTTCTAGAAAATGTTATTTTAAGCAACTTTGCTGAACACCCAAAATTTCTAGCTTTTATAAATTGCGAGTTATGTTTAATTTTTCGAGAAAGGCCCCTTTAAATCATGTTTTTTTAGTATAACTGATTTTCTAGGCATCCTACATTTTTTGTTGCTTTTACAATTATATTTTGCATGTTTAAACACATGCTTTTGCTCAACATTGTAACTAATTATCTCTTGAAACAAAAAAGTTATTCTTAAATAATCGATATTTTTAGGGGTATTTGCTTCTCAAATAAATATTTCCGGCGCAAATTGGCGCAAAATTCTAGGAAGGATTCTGAATCTATACTTATTTTACTGCCGAAAAATTATAAAAAACATGTGGCAGCACGCGATCTTTTAGGTGTTTTTTAATAACTAAAAAACTCCTGCAAATGTCTAATTTTAATTTTAAGAGATAGCATGTTAAAATGTTCAGCAAAAGTATGTATTTTTGTACGGCAAACAACTTTGCAGAATATGTTAAATATATTGAAAATCTACGAAAAAAGTAACACTCAAAACAATTATTTGAAGGCATCAAAAAACCTGATAATTTTTAAAGTTTGAAGGGCTTACCATTTTGTAACATCCTAGTCTAATAAATCAATATCACACTTTTCACACTTGATTGATTTTGATGCTTGCTCTTAACTATGGCCTACGGACTTTATTTGAACTTTGTTTAAATATTGGTGAAACCATTCGCATTGACGACGACTCTGCAACTGTTCACTTCTATAGCAAATGTCGAATTTCATAAAACATAGCGGATCGTTTCTTATCCTTTCAGTTCACTGAAAAATCTCGTAGGCAAAATGTTAATTTTTGCGTGAAAGGAGGGGGTCGACAATATTGGACACTAGAAAGCATGATATTCTGTATACTGAATACCAATTAATTGATATTCCATTTGTCTGAAAGTCATTTTATTGAAGAAAAAAAACTGAAGTATCCGGATAGTTGAAGTCTCAGCTCTAATCAACAGCGAACAAAAACTATGAAAACTGAGCATCTTCACTTGATATGAGCCTGGAAAAATAAAAGCATTATATATATATAAAAAAATGAGAATCTTCACTCACTCCTCTCTTTTTCAAATGCATATGACCTATAAAAATTGAATGATTCTACTATAGATGGCTTCCAAATTAATTTACCTTTCCAAAAGTATCGTTGCAATTGATAAAGAGTCACAAATTGTTGAAATATTGTTAAAAAGCTAACACTGGTTCTTGATTCCAAATTCGTCCTACGAGTTTAAGTTCCGTCCTAACCCATTGAAACGCCATTTATTCGTCCTACGGATGCAGGCAAAGCAAAAAAAAATGATGCACTAGGCTTAAGCGGTTCTTTTGTTTTAGAGGACAATGAGTGAAAATATTCGTTCAATGTGCTACAGGCTTTGTTTTGTGGCTTTTGAACTAACGTATCGGAGGAAACGTATTATTGATGCGGGCATGGAGAAATCATTGATATTATTGATGTTTTCTGCTTGATGGAACGGAAATGGGCGATAGTGACGAAGTAGCGCTGTACCCTATCATGTTTATTTTTAACGCTGTGATATGTGATCGAAAAAATCGTGGGTCAAAACTCGCACGGAAGCTCGTAAATTGCACGCCAATTGCATTTTCGAACGGTGAACGTGAGCGAACTGTGATGACCTTTTTTTGTCCTCAGCTACCACCAACTCACAAGCAATTCGCATGAAAAGAGAACACACAAACCACAGCATCCTCCTAGTTTTATATTTCACCTCTGTGTGCCATGTCCCGTGCATATCGATGGCGGCGGCTAACATCACCGCCAACGATTTTGAGCGGAATCATCGAGCATCACGACTGGGAGCTTTGCGATTAAATTGATCGGAATACTTCAGAAGCCTCCAAATTAGACCGAACCAGTTTGTGAATATATTCCAGCTGAGCAATCGAAATTCAGCCCGGAAACAAGAATCCGCTGTCTCACTTAACCCTCATACTCAAAATACGCTCAGGTACCCATTGACAGTGCTCATTCCAAGTGGGTACATCGGGCGGATTCGAATATATTTACGTGAGGCACATACCGTACGTTCATGACGATGGAAGGTAAAAAAAAAATTAAACGCAATTTGTGGTTATCCAATTTGGTATTTTTTTTGGAAGGGTAACCACTGAGTAATTTTGTTATTATTACAACAAAGTGACGGCTTTACAACTGCAACAAGTTATACGTTCGCGGGCAGAAATACCTGCAAACTGATAGTGAAAAGTTGGACGATGCTTAACACTTAAAGCCTGTCCACGTAAAATTTCGGCCACTAAGATAATATCGGGAAAAAAATCTACACTTAATGTAATAAAACCGATTGTTTATTTTAGTAAAGTAGACTTATATCGTACAGTATCCTCTGATAGCTTAATGGCAGCGTGCCTCCATACTTACTTACTTAAGGGTCCTGTGCACCACCAGCGGTGCAAAAGGCCAACGTGAAAGACTTCCATCCTGGGCGGCTGCTCACTTTTGCCTTGACCTGGGCCCAGGTCAGATTCCTATCGACTTGCTTAATTTCCTTATTGAGGCTCCGCCGCCATGAGCCCCTGGGTCTGCCTCTGCTGCGATGTCCTGCCGGATTCCAATCGAGCGCTTGCTTGCAGATTTTGTTTCCGCCCCGTCGAAGTGTGTGGCCGACCCACCTCCACTTTCGCTCTCGAATTTCTGTTGCTATCGGCTTCTGATGACATCGACGATGGAGCTCGACATTCAAGATCCAGTTGTGAGGCCACCAGGCACGAATTATATACCGCAGGCATCGGTTGATGAAGACCTGCAGCTTTTGAGTGTTCTCCGCTGATACACACCACGTCTCGCTGGCGTATAACAACACAGATTTCACGTTCGAGTTGAAAATTCGGATTTTGGTGCGTTGACTTACCTGGTTGGATCTCCATACGTTTCGTAAACTCGCAAAGGCAGCCCTAGCCTTCTTGATTCGTGCACCTATGTCGCTCTTGGTCCCACCGTCCGACGCTATTTGGCTGCCAAGATATTGGAAACTTTCGACCTTCTCCACTGCTTGCCCCGCTACCGTAAAGTTGGAAGGGTTGCCCGTGTTGATATCCAACGATTTGACGTTGACGTTGATGGTGAGACCCGCCGCAGAGGAGCGTTCGGCTAGGTCATTGAGCTTACTCTGCATATCAGAGCGCCGTTGTGCTAGTAGAGCAACATCATCAGCCAAATCGAAGTCGTTCAGATGCTCCATGGTGATAGGCTGCCAAAGTAGCCCACGGTTCGGTACACGGTCAATTGCACCTACCATGATCTCGTCGATTACGATGAGAAACAGTAGCGGTGATAGTATACATCCTTGTCTCACACCAGCGACTACCCGGATAGGATCGCAGAAGGCTCCGTTATGCAGAACTCTGCACGTGAAAGCCTCATACTGCGCTTCGATGAGGTTGACGATTTTATCCGGGAATCCCTTGCGTCTCAGGGCGCCCCACAGATTCTCGTGATTGAGACGGTCGAAAGCTTTTTTGTAGTCAATGAATACCAAATAAAGGGACTCTTGGAATTCATTGACCTGCTCCAGGATGATGCAGAGCGTGACAATATGGTCCACACAAGATCTTCCGGCACGGAATCCTGCCTGCTGCCGTCGGAGAGTCACGTCGATCTTCTCCTGTATCCGATTCAGGATAACTTTGCACAGAACTTTGAGAAAAATACACAGTAATATGATGCCTCGCCAATTGTCGCACACAGTCAGATCACCCTTCTTTGGGACCTTCACTAAGATGCCCTGCATCCAGTCGGCCGGAAAAGTCGCGGTTTCCCAGATATTACAGAATAGTTGATGTATAATTTGTGCGGATAGCATGGGGTCAGCTTTGAGCATCTCTGCTGGTATGCGATCGACCCTTGGATTCGGATAGCTGCTTCAATCTCCTGCAGTGATGGGGCCTCGGAATTGCCATGCCGAGATGTTGATGGCTGGTTGGCCGTCGAAACTTGAAGAAGTTGTTCGAAGTGCTCAAACCAGCGTTTCAGCTGGTCAGTGGGGTCGGTAAGCAATTGTCCAGTCGTGTCCTTCACTGGCATCCT